ATTGAGATCAATAAGGCTATCTGGAAACCAGACATGCTATTCATATGTGGGCTCAAAATCAATGGACTTACTCACTGATTAACTAATACAAATTGTTAAAGCAATAAAGGTCTCTAATATCCATCCGGGATCAAAAGTGCTTTCTCTTACTTAAAATATTACCTGCTTATAAAATTAGTATTGGGGTTTGAATACAACACATGCAGGTATCTGCCTTGACACACTCTTCACTTCCTTGTCTTTGAAAGTGAGTTGCTGAAAATGAAATGGCTGATTGATATAAATCACTCTGTGAAAACAGAATGTATATTTGTGAGGACTGGAGAATAGTCTGCTAATAAACAGTGGGAAAGCCACGCCAACTGCGTGGACATATATAAGAGTATGTCAGTAAGGAATGAGGGAAATGATAGGGATACATATAAGTATTGGTTTTTTTGCATACATTCAAGTATTATGTCTCCATAATGTCTCCATCACACTGAGGGATGCACACAAGTGAGGTTACCACATGTTGCCAAACACAATTCTTCATACCATGTTAACAGAAAAGCTGGGGAACCATGGTCACTGGTGCAGAAAATGAAAGACTGTTTCTATGGAAATACCATGGTAACATAATGGTTTGCACAGTGTGGAATAAAATACTGAGAGATAAAATGGTGGTTGGATCCCATCAGCTTTTCCACTTGTGAAAAGGGGAGCAGAGGTCTTATTTGACCACCCAAAAACACTATGATGGGGATCATGGCACATGACAAATGCCACATGGCTCAGAGGCCGTAGGAAGCAGAAGAATTGGGCAGGATTCTGCCCAGTTGACTACATGATGCTAAAGGCAGGCATGAAGCCTCACTCAGACAGTCCAAACAGCATTTCTCCTTCATGGCTACTTTTCAGCATTTAGGAAGCATATTTCACATGTTCCAACTGTTTCCATGCATGACTTTAGTAATGATCACAAGAACTTTATAAATTAGGCTTAAAGGGTAGATAAGAAGGAAGGATGCTTACCCTGAGAGAAGCGTAGTAGACATTGTCTTTATCACCTTGCAATTTCATACACTAGACTTTTCAGAGAAGATAGATATTGGATGACAATGGAAAAGGGTAGATAAGGAGATAAGTGACAGAGTTTTACCTTTCATGGAGGCACTTTCAGTCTTTCTCGTCTTCTTTTCACAAAGGTATACCCAAAAGCTGACAGTGGATTTCATGTCCATCCACATCTTCTTTTTTCTTTGAAATCACAGTAAATGTATACTTTGTGAGAATGGAGTTTTATATATATATTTGTTCTGCACTGTTCTTGGGGATGTTCACCACATGTCCCAGAAGAAATCAGTAGCAGAGGTCCCAAGAGACGTTATTCCTATCTGAAGACTGCAATGACTTCCTGATTAAAAAAAAAATATCACTGAATTATGTGCCTGTGGGGGTGAGCCTCCAATTCAAAGCATGGATGACCATCTACAACCAGAAATGTAACTTATGATGTCTCCATTAAAATACTGTTTCTTTTTAGAATAGCAACATTTCTGATTATAAAGATCAGTGGTCACTGGTATTCCCTAAAAGTGGCAGTGGACTGTGTACAAAACTCCATCCATTTCACCCAATATTTCTTCTGGGGATTTTTCAAGAACAGTATAATTTTTATATTTGAGCTATCATGTAAAAATCTACCTACAGCTGGGTCCAATCAGTTTTTCTGCTTGAATTCACCCAGTTCCTCTTCTCAGTGCAATCCTAACCCATGTGGCTTCTATGAACACACATCCCAAGGATCATTGCATAGCCATTTGGATGGCTTTACAAGTGGGAAAGCTTGTAGGATATAAGCCACTATGATTGTGAGGAGGGCAGGGTACATAATGGAGAGTTTTGTTTAAAGGATCATTGTCTGGGATTTTCCATCTGTTCATCTCTGAATGCAAGGCCCATGCCTATGAACAGGAACCAGAATTAAAGACTGGGGCATATGAAGGACCGACAAGACAGTGCATAAGAATGCAAACTTCAGGTTGCAGTATCAGCAATCAAGAATAACGGTTGTGATGTGTCAATTAATTTTATTTTTATACTACATGTCTACTGTAAAGAGCCATTGAATTAACATCACAACATAATCATAAGTGTTCTCTTTAAACAATGAGTTCCAGTGGACAAAAAGAAAGAAACATTCTGATTTATACATAATGTGAAACCTTAGAAATCCCCACAAATTAGACCATTGAAAGAAACTGTTATGGAGCATCTGAAGGAATTTCACTGCAATGTTTGAATGAAAACCTTTGCTGACTCAATGGACAGACCATCTTGCAGGAGCAAGGAGCCTTCCACTAGATTTATGGTGACAGTGTTACCACCAATGGCCTGCCTTGTTGTCTGGGGAATTTAGCTATGTGGCAGGATAAGCGGGAGGGGTATAGGAATCACACACCACTTGTATACTGAGGTCTGACACAGCAGGAAGACTCCAGATTTGAAGAGTAAATTAAATAGGTTTTATTGAAGTAGTTCCCTAATTACAAGCACACTAAACATTCAAAAGAACAAACAATACAGAACTAATAAAGAAGAGGTGATTGATAGCGAATATAGGGGTCAGTTATGGGGTGATACAACCAGTTCAGGCGTGCAGGGGTCCATGGATATAAGTTTATGGCCTAAATCCAGGGGTTTAGGGGTGGACTGCCAGTTGGCATCAGGGCAGAGGCACATGGTCTGAGGCCATGTGCTTGAGCGGTTATAGAGATTGGAAAACAATGCAGACCAATGGAAGGTCTTGGTGGCTGGTTTCAGGTGAGAACAATAGATCACCTGGGTCAATGATGATTCCCATGGGTGTGTGGCATCAGGATGGGCAAGGCCTAGATGTGACCAATGAGCTTTCAGAGGGGCAGAGTCTGGCTTTAACAATAGAAGCCAGTTGTTAGATGACTGTACTGGGGGTGTCCATTGTGAAACAATAGAGTGGTCTGGCATTTCCCTGGTGCCAGACAAAAGAAGAAGAAGAGAAGAGGATGAGGAGTAGGGGGATAAGGAGGAGGAGGAGGAGGAGATTGGATTTATACCACGCCCTTCATTATCCAAAGGAGTCTCAGAGCGGTTTACAAACTCCTTTTCCTTCCCGTCCCCACAACAGACACCCTGTGAGGTAGGTGGGGCTAAGAAAGCTCTGACAGAAACTGCTCTTTTTCAAGAACAGCTGTGCCAGAACTATGGCTTGCCCAAGGTCATCCAGCAGGTGCAAGTGGAGAAGTGGCGAATTAAACCTGGTTCTCCCAGATTAGAGTCCGTGCACTTAACCACTAAGCCAAAAGAAGTGATGTTTCTTAATGTGTGGCACGATGATCCTGAATGGGTGACCATTCACTAGCCATGGAAAGTTAATCTTTACCTTGATAGATCTGGCATAGGTGTAAGAATGCAGATATCTTAGAAAAATCTTTGACAAACAGATAGGTGTAGAAACATAAGGATTACCAAGAGGTGCTTTCTGAGTTCCAGGGTATGAAAGGATTTGGGACAGAATCATGATACAGCATACTTCATTCATGACTATAGCACAGACCAGAGGCTCTTTGTCTCTGCCTGCCTGTACATTTCACAGACAAAAGACGAGCCATTTGGTCCATAGAAGATGCCTGAGGCAAGGGCAGAGACTTGCCCATTCTAGTCCTTTTTGGATTAAGTTGACAGGATAGATGTGGGGGTTGCTTGCTTGCAGAGTGTTTGGCAGTATAGCCAACCTGGAGAATTCTCTTTGGCCTGAGTTTTCTCATCCAAGGTGTGGTTCTCCTAGCCTCCCAGCAAAAGCCACTGTTTAAGCCAAGCCTGGCTTCATAGGGCACTACTTGTGGAGGCTGAGAGGTAGTTTTGGGGTGTCTCTCTCTCAGGAAAGACCGCCCCAGGTTCAGGGCTGAGGATGCTGGCAACAGTAGTGGTGGGGAAGTCTCCTTGCTCCAGGCAAAGATGTTGGGATCTCTCTACCATTGGCCAGGTGGCTAGTGGGGGGGGGGATTATCTCCCCAAAAGGGAAGAGCACCAGAAATCAATCCAATGTGCCTACATGACCCAGAAGTGACATGGGCATGTTGGGGACATGGGGGGATGCTCTGTTGTTTAGTTAAAACTCTGTGCTAAAAGCTAATTCTACCATAGAGATTTTAAAAAGAGCATTGCCCCCCAACATGTCTACATCACTTCTGGATCACGTAGGCCTGTCATGTTAATTTCTGGTGTTCCTCCCTGCTCCTGGTAAGTGTACTTCCCATCCCTCACTGGCTGCTCCAAGGAATTATACAAATATATACAAGGGGGACCAGCAATTCAAAGCAGTACAATAATAATTACATCAGTATTATAATGAGCAGAAGCAGGGGACTTGTAGGGTTTTCATGTTCATGAGTGGTTATTGCCTGCCTGTGTGTAGTAAACCTGGATTTCCTTGGTGGATCCCATCCAAATACTAACTAGGTCTGACCCTGTCTGTCTTCCTATACCTGATGTGATTAGGCTAACCTGAGGTGTCTAGGTCAGGGCATATCTACCTATCTGTCTGTCTGTCTATCTGTCTGTGTCTAGTACAATTCCAAACAGAAACACAAAGCATATTTGATCAACTATTTTAATCAGTTTTCTTTCATAACCAAACTGTTCATGTGTTAGCTTGTTATTTAGTTCTGACTTTGCATATCTTAAACATCACCATGTTACATATTAATCTGCTATTCAATCCTTGTCTATAAATTTGGACCTTATCTAACATTCCAATGCATTTGAAAAAGTGTACATGTACACAAAAGCTCATACCTTGAATAAACCTTTGTTGGTCTTAAAGGTGCCACTAGACTCTAAATTTGTTCTACTGATTCAGACCAGCATGGCTGACCACCTGGATCTAGGTCCATGTGTTGCAATCCTTAGATTTGTGTGAAAATTCCCTCACTAATGAACATTCTGAAAATCATGAACAGAAAAACTACATGTTAAGGCTAAAAAACTGCCATTTTTCTGTTGACATGAACTGCCCAATAGATGACTTTGGAAATTTCTGCTTTGATCTCCTTGTTTCTGATTGTATAAATTATTGGATTCAGTGTCGGTGGTACCACGGTATACATTAAAGAAAGAGCAAGATCCCAGTTAGAGGGGGAGCTGGAAGCTGGCTTTAGATGGGCAATCATACCGACAGTGAGAAATAGAGAAACAACTATCAAGTGAGGGATGCATGTTGAATTTCCCTCCACAGAAGTAATTCCTAGTACTGTTCGGAAAATATAAACATAAGATGCAGCTATGAAACCCAAACAACATGTACAGATACATGAAGCTACGATAAGAACCCCAATTTCAATGAGGTAAAGATTAGAACAGGAGAGTCTGAGCAGGTGAGGAACTTCACAAAAGAACTGATTGATTACCCTGGAGCAAAAAGTGATTAGGAATGTGCTAGTCACATTAACAATTCCATACAAAAGTCCTCCAATCCAGGCACTCATTGCCATTTGAAAACAAAACCTCCTGTTCATTACTCGTCCATAGTTCAGGGGATCACAGATAGCAGCGTAGCGATCATATGCCATGATTGTTAGAAGGATCCACTCTGAGGACAAGAAGAAGAAAAGGAAAAATACTTGTGCAGCACATTCATAATATGAAATTAGCCTAGTGTTTAGGAAGGAATTGGCCATGGCTTTGGGAAGAGTGATAGATATGGAACCAATGTCAATGATTGATAAGTTCATTAGGAAAAAGTACATTGGAGTATGAATATGGTGGCCAGTGGCTATAACTGTGAAAACAAGAATGTTTGCAATAAGGGAGGCCATGTAAATTACAAGGAACAACCCAAAGCTTAACATTTGCAACTCTCTGATGTCAGAGAATCCCAGAAGCAGAAAGTGAGATACAGCGCTTTGGTTGGACGTTGTGTCTTGGGTAGCTGGCTTGTTCTCTGTGTGGGAGAAAAACAGACATTAGGAGAATGACAGAAAAAAGACCATGAAGATAATTGGGTTTCTTGTCTGCTTCCTAAAGCTGATTATCATCTATAGAACTTCTGAGATAACATAGATAGAATGATGCAGCAGCTCTAGCTGACAATGATTCTACAACCACACTCTAAAATCCTTCTAGACCATTGACATTCTCTTTCCTTTAAAATGTAGTCCTCAGAACTCTTGCTCTAGATCTAGCATTTTACGCATCAAATCAACTGCGATTGGCAAAGCACTCTACAAAATGAGCTGGAGTAGAGCAAAGGATGCGATCTGAACTGTAACCAGGGATTAAAAAAACCAACTTTCCCCCTTCCTTCATCTCACCTTTTTCATGAATTCATTGAGAAGAAGTAGGTAGATTATACAGCTAGCACTGGTGAAGTCATGATTCAGCTCCCTGCTCTTCGGCTGAGCATGGGCCACTCACCCCAAAGATGTTGTGAGGAGAAAGTGAATTACATAAGGCATGTATGCCTCCCTAAAATTCGTTGAAAGGGAGAGACTGGCTAAGAACATTACTACTGTTACTCTTACTCTTTGTTGCTTGACAGATCAGTATTGGGATTCTAATAACATTGTGAATATCTAGAATGATGCAGTCTTTAGTGCCTTGTCTCTACAGCTGATTTGCCGAGGACTGATTGAGAATAAAGATTCTGTGCGAGCAGGAGAGAAGGTGGTTGCTTTGGGGGGGGGGTTAATTTCCTTTTAAATATTTCTGCAGGAAATAACAAAATGTCTGTGTGTAAGTGTGGGCTTGTGTGTCTGTGGAATGCAAAGATGGAAGAGATGCAGACACATTAAAAACATCTGTTTCAACTTTATATTCAGTTACTTTTTTCCCTTCTATATCTGTAGTGCTTCTACCATACAAAGGGATGCACACTGAACTGACATTACAACATGTTACCATAGCATGTCAACAACAAAGCTGAGGGATTTTGTTCACTGGTGTGATACATGCAGCATATTTTTATAGTAATACATGGAAACATGTTTGCATAGTGAAGAGCCATATACAGACAAAAAACAGCGGTTGCAGAATGTAAAATGCATGCATGAATTCACTCGGGGATAACCCAAAAGATACTATAAGTTTGCTAATTTCATCCCCATATATAGTAGATTTCTATGATTATCCCAAAACTGTGGTCTTAAGATAGGATGAACATAAGAGTATATGAAAAGCCCTCCTGGATCAGACCAGCGGCGTATCTACTCCAGCATCCTGTCTCACACATCAACCAGCCAGTTCCTCTGGAGATTCAGCAGCGAGGTACAGAGGCTGAGACAGTCCCCTGATGTTGCCTCCTGGCTCTGGGATTCAGACGTTTAGTGCCTCTGAACATGGAGGATCCCCTTAGTTACCATGGTTAGTAGCCATAGATAGACTTGTCTTCCATGAATCTATCTGGCCCCCCTTTAAAGCTGTTGGTTCCTGTGGCCATCAATACATCCTCTGGCAGAAAATTCTGCATTTTAATCACACTAAACTAATACTACTACATTATATCTTGTCTGATATATTGCAGAACATTCAGAGAACATGCTTGCTGTAGTAGATAGAGCAAATGATAAGCAAAGCAAGAGAGATGGATGGACTTTACCTTTCATTGCAAGACTTTTTCCCATTCTTCTTTGACTTCTTTTTTAAAAAATAGTGAGCAAATCCTAATATTTTCTTGCCCACCCACATACTCTGTAATAATGAGCTATGTTGGTTCTTAGTAAATGTGTGTCTTATGGGAAAGAGGTTTTATATATGTCTGTTCTACACAAGTTCTTAGGAATGATCTACACAAAGCCCAGCAGAGTTCAGTAACAGTAGTCCCAAGATAAGTTATTACTGATTGTAAATGGCACTGAGTTGGTAATAAAAATTAATTATGCATCATCTTTTTCACCAAGAACATAATATAATGCTTAAGGTTCATACACTGTGTGTTTGCCTGATTGGCACAATCTTCCTTGCACCAAAAAGGGATATGTATGAACAAAACACTGGTGCACATGCATACACACACATTATGTGACATTATATTCAGATTTATATTCAGATTTTCAAGACCACTATCACCTTTACATCTGAGGCTGTTTTTGCCATCAAATCACAGCTGTCTTTTGGCAACCCTGTGAGGTTTTCAAGGCAAAAGATGTTCAGAGTTGGTTTGCCATTGCTTGCCTATGTATTGTGACCCTGGGCTTCCTTGGTGGTCTCCTATCCATATAATAACCGTGGTTGAGCCTACTTAGCTTCTGAGATCTAATGAGATTAGCTAGCCTGGGGTATCCAGGTCAGGGCAAAAAAATACCTATACATACTGAATTGTGTCATACTAGTTTTTCCACTCAATCTCAATTGAGTTCCTTTCTGTAACCCCTATTGTACATATTCATGTACATCCCATTAACTTCAGCATAATCTGTTTTAATGGTCAAAAAGAGCCTTTCTCCCCACTTTCTCCACCAAAAAAAGAAGCTTTTAGGATCCAACTATGGCTGCCAAATACCCAGTGAGGGAGTGAGATATGTCACCTGAAGCTCCCATTCAGGTGGATACCCTACCTGAAGCTCACTCCATCCTGGGGCAAGTGGGGAAAATACAGTGACATTATGGGCATGACAATGTCACTTTTGAGGTAAACTTTGAAGTGGTGGCAGTACCATGTACTACCCCAGAGCCAGTTTGGTGTAGTGGTTAAGTGCGCGGACTCTAATCTGAGAGAACCAGGTTTGATTCCCCACTCCTCCACTTACACCTGCTGGATGACCTGATAAGAGGTGATCTTGAAAAAGAGTCATTTCTGTCAGAGCTCTCTCAGCCCCACCTACCTCACAGGGTATCTGTTGTGGGGAGAGGAAGGGAAAGGAGTTTGTAAGCCACTCTGAGACACATTTGGGTAGTGAATGGCGGGGTATAAATCCAATCTCTTCTTCTTCCTCTTCTTATGGGAAGATGAGTCCTCCTCAGAGGATGAAAAAAACTGGCCCCCAATGCCTGCCTTGGTAGACCTTTCCAGTGATGTGTGTTCTTCAGGGCCACCCCGATGGAGACGCTTTGTAGGCACTGGCACTGCCTCCTGATCCAGTAGTGCCCTCAAGTAGGGTAGCCAGCTCCAGGTTGGGAAATACATGGATATTTTGGGGGTGGAGCCTGAGGAGGGTGGGGTTTGGGGAGGGAAGTGGCTTTAATGGGGTATAATACCATAGAGTCCACCATGCAAAATGGCCATTTTCTCCAGGAGAACTGATCTCTGTCACCTGGAGACCAGTTTTAATAGCAGAAGATTTCCTGCGACCCCTCGGAGGTTGGCAACCCTACCCTGACTACGAACTGGGAAGGAGGCAAAAGAACAGTGGGGATTTAATCTCTCCAGTACAAAAGCTCTTTAAACACTTGGAGAGGTCAACAGATAATTATAAGAGGGACAAGATTTCAGAGAAAGAATTACAAAAAGCCCACAGACCAACAAGTGTGATGCATTCTAAAAGCAGGCTTTGATACTCAATGTTATGTGATTTCTCACCACAGCAAATGTTGCATGAAAGCTGATTTCTGAATAGTGCTTAGAGTAACACTGACAGCTAATAGTTTCTTGTTATCAGGTAAGTTATAAGAATACTCTTTTAATCACCACAGCAAATGCTCCTTTTCTACGAATTTCTGAATAGTGCTTAGAGTAACACTGACAGCTAATAGTTTCTTGTTATCAGGTAAGTTATAAGAATACTCTTTTAAGCATGCCAAATAGACCTTGCAACTTGAGTATACCCTGATAAATAACCTGAATGCTTGGAAGCAGGCCCTTGCCTCAAGAGAAGGTTAACTTAATTCAGCCATGCAAGCTACAGAGCACAGAATACTTAACAGTATTTTAAAAAATAAATAAATCTAAAAAGTAGAACTGAAGCATACCAGAGGTATCAACAAAACACATTAAGCAGTGCAAAAATTACATAATAGGGTCCTACTTAACAGTGAGCTATAAAAAGCAGGATAAACGCACCTTTGCATATCTTAAACATCATGTTACATGTCAATTTGCTGTTGAATTCCTGTCTATAAGTTTGAACCTTACCTACCATTCCAATATATTTGAAAAAGTGTGCATGCACACAAAAGCTCATATCTTGAATAAGCCTTTGTTGACCTTAAAGGTGCCACTGGACTCTAAATTTGTTCTACTGCTTCAGACCAACACGGCTGACCACCTGGACCTATAGTCCTAATCATTTATCCAAGTAATTTTATAAACAGTTTTGTACAGTGTAACCCTGTTAGCTGTACCTCCAGTGATGGAAAGGAGCCCAATAATCTACAGCATGAGGAATAAAGACATCAAGACTAATGCTCCCTCTAAGCTGTGGAGTCTTGTGAGCAGCAATTCTACTTTGTGAGCTGCCGGCATTAAAGTTGTGAGCGAGCGATTTGGCTACTGAGTAAATCAGTTTGCTCCGGAGCCATCCTTCCTGAGCCAAGATGAAAATGTGTGAGCCGGAGGCTAAAAAACTGTGAGCTAGCTCACACTTACTCAGCTTAGAGGGAACACTGTTTTGGCGAAAGCTTCCAACAAGTTTTGCTTTCCTTTTGTACACTTTTAAACTTGCTACTAATGCCCATTAGATATGAACATGTCAGGATTATTTTTAAATAACCAAACATTACACAGATTTCATTGTTAGAGGGTACCCACACAGTATAGCAGGGCCTGTGCGTTATATGTTGTCTTGCAGAAGAAGTTCTTGTTTACGAATATATTTTCTATGTGAATGGAGTCCCTGCCTCAGAATCATTAATACAGTTTCCTTGCTGGGTGATATAAATGTTG